TATGATACAGAATGTTTTCATCCCCTAGAGCTTGGATTGTTTCATTCTGAATATTCATCCTGGAAAGAGAGGAAATCTCTTTAAGCCATGGGATTGTAAACAAATACCATTCTTGGACTATCCTTAGCTTTTTTTGATCTTGACCTTGAGCATTCCTACCTTAACCCTCTCAGATCTAGATTTTTAATTTATACCAGTGAGCAAAAGTACCAGCCCAACTCACCCTACCCTTCTGGCATTCATTCAGCATGATTCCAATAGACTGTGGTCAAATCTCCTTGTCATTCTCGTCTCAAGTTCTTGGAAACCTGGAGAGTCTCATATAGTCTGTAGTTTGTATCGGTGTAGTATGTCAAAGACTAAATCCATGATAATGGCACTACTCAAAGTATGGTCCCTGGACCTGTGCTGCTCTCTGACTTTTTTCCATTTTATTTTTCCTAGTGAGTAATGTTTATTAATTTTACAAAAGCATTGACCAGTGATGAATTGGAAAATTTAAAATAGTAGTCCTTTACCAGAGATAGTTTGAGCAGCAGTGCCCTAGGCTGCATAACTCCTGAGTGTCACCTCGACTTTGGGAAATGCCAACCTATTTCCCAAGGAACAGTGAGCCACCAGTTTTCCCCTTAAACTTCAGGCCATTGACTCTGAAAGGAGGTAGAAAGAGAAGACTCGGTTTGAAAGGGTGGAAGAATGAGGGGGCATGGGAAGATTAGGGGCACCTGGAGGGAAGGGCTTTGTCTGATGCTCTGGGAAAATCTCCCCTGCAGGTAATCCCTCATTACCATCTCTGATCTGAAAAGCTCAAGGAAGTGAGTGGGGGGGAATCCTGGGAATCCTGTTCCTTCTTTCTCCACCTTGGGTCATTTTAGAGACTGTGGTGTTTAATCCAACTTTGTCCACGTGGCACAGAGTGGAAAGTCACCTCCACTGCCACTGCTAGACTTTGATGTCTGTGTTCCCTTCTCCTCACTTCTGGCATTTTACCCAGAACTCAGGAATGCTGCAGAGGATAGAACAGGCACTGTCAGCACGGCCCTGAGGTACCTGGGAAGTCTTTCTTAGCTTGTAGGCTACTAGGCTGCCCTCTCACAGGTACTACTGTAAAACCACATTTCCCCTACTCTGTATCTGTGTGGTTGGTTTTTGAGGTCTAATGCAAGACATCATACATACCCTTATTGACCGGTCAGTGGCAGTACAGCACTCCTGCCTACAGAGATGTTTGGAACCCATTTCTTGCCTGCTTATCTTTGTGTCACATGCCAACGTCTTTTTCCCCCCAATTTATTAATAGTTATGTCAAGTAGAACAGGAATGGGATCGTAGCTCTGTGACATTCCCTGAGTGACTTCTCTTCCTGTTTCTATCAACTCATGGTCCCATCTTCTGGGGTCAGTAGTTTGACAGATTATGAATCTACTTAACCATCCTGTCTACCAAGATATTGTGGGATGAACTGATAATCTCTCTCCATCACCTTTCCTCTGCTCTTATCCTTTCTATGAGAGAGAGGCCTGGAATAACAACAATAATAGTAATAATTAATAATAAATCTGATGAGACTGCTCTAAGGTAGCAAAGAGAGTAACATAATGCCAACAGTGGTGTTTCCTGTATTTCAGCCAGACTCGGGCTAGGGGAGAGCCAGTAAGAGAAGTTATGTTGGTTTTTGTGAGGCAAGCTTGCTTCAGAGGTGATATAGGAAAGAAAGGCCACTGAGCACACAACCTGGACCTGGAATTTGGGGTTCCTGTTAACCTTTGCTCATGGGCCTAGAACAATGGTTCTCAGTTGGCAGCAAATTTTCCCCTAGAGGACATTTGACAATGTCTGGAGACATTTTTTGATTGTCACAACTTGGAAAATAAGGGGTTGCTATTGGCATCTGTTGCATAGAGGCCAGAGATGCTACTAACCATCCTTCAGTGCCCAGGGTAGCCACCCTCTCCAACAAAGCAGTGTTGAGCCCCCAATATTAACAGTGCCTAGGCTGAGAAACCCTGGCCTAGGATTTATCCCATTCTAAATCTGCACCGCTGTGCATGGGGAAACAAAAATATGCAGCTGGTTAAACTCCAGGCCACATCCCTAAAGATCCTAGTTTCCTTGGTCTGGAGTCCAGCCTGCATGTTATTTTCATGAAACCCTCCCCCCAGACCCCACTCCCCTTGTGTGTGAATAGGATTCAAAACCACTCCCTGGAGTGTCTGGTCTGATGGAGACCATAGATGAAGCATTTTCTTGAGGGTTATTGAAGGGCCATTGGCTTCTTGAAGAGGTAGCAGCCGTGGAGACACCCACAGGAGAGGGAGAAAAGCCCTAGAAGCACTGGAGAGGATAAGATGGAAGTTCAAGTTAGGAGCTTTTGTGAGAAGTGGGAAACGGGCACGCCCTCCAGATAAAAGTATTTGAAAACATTCTGATGGATGTTCCCAGGGCCCTTAGCCTAGCTAAAGGGCCAGACTGCTGGGAGAAAGAGAAAAGGAACTCTTCCACAACGGATGTGGCCCCTGCTAAGGCACAGGGCTCCACAAACCCAGAGGCGGCTGGATTTATTCTCTCACTTGCCCCTTCCCCCAGGCACATTTGTGCAATACCCAAACTGCACAACCTAATTGTTGTGGCTGCTCGCTTGTGGGTAAAGAAATTCACAAGTCAGGTAGAAATACAGAAGGAAGATTTATTAAAGTCAGAGAAGGGTTGGCTGGGCAGTCTGCTGGAAACTACTGCATCAAGTCTTTGTTTCGCCTCAAGTTTTACATTTTCTAATCAGGATGTAAATTGCTTGGGCCTGTAAGGGGATTTTCTATTGAGTTCGGATTTAGTCCATTGGGGTGAGGGAAGCGGTTAAACTGGTTATAGCACCTTTGCATATGTTATGTAGATTTAAGTTGGAGCCTGGAGAGGATCCCATACAGATGCAAAACCTCTCGGAAGTCACAGGGCCAGATTGGGCTGAAGTAAACAGAACCATCGAGACTGGTATGCATAGGAAATGTACAGCAAGCAGCCATCCGGGCCTGGCCGGAAAGGGGGCAAAATAAAGAAAAGAGATTTCAAAAAGTCCCAAGCTAAATTACACTTGTTAAATCGAATTATACCATTACCGAACTCAGGTTCGGTGCCACTTGCCACCCGAAGAGCCCAAAAACTAGAGTCAGGAGAAAAGTGTCCTTTATTCTATATGCTGGCACCTAGGGAAGATGGCAGACTAATGTCTAAAAAAAACTCCACTTTCTTCAAGCCAAAAATGATTAAGAGGTTTTATAGGCGGGTAAATGGGAAAGAACAAAGGAAAGCAGGTCTTGGGGCTAATAGTTGAGAAGTCGTTTCCTGGGGTCTCATGAAGCCTCAGGTCTGTCTCAATGTTATCTTAAATCTTACTATCAGAAAGTCATCGGTGAAAAACTGCTAGGGAGTTGTGATGGGGGTCCAGATGTCCTGGTCGCCTGAGGATTAAAGAAGCTGCTCTTTTCAGGTGAGGATGTTTGTTCATTAATGAGGTATAGGTGGCCTTGTCAGAAAGAATAAACAGAGTTCTTCAGTTCATCAGTGGGAGGAGAAACAAAGAGGAAACAGCTGAATATCAGGATGGATCAAACTGCAAACTTAAGTTTAATTACATTATTGATATACTGAATATCACCTTTACAATACCAGAGATCCAAATCTCAAAATAGAAGATTTAGTGCCGCCATTGCAATCCCCCTGTCTCATCATTAATGCAGCAGCCCTGGTTGGAATTTGCCTTAGCTAAGATCTCCTTCAGACAGGAAAGGGGTGAGGCAGGAAAGGGGCGAGGTTCTGCCTTAAGGGTTTACAAAAACACCCATTTTAGAAAGCCTCGACGAAACCAGATCCAAACTGCAAGCACCCTAGAAACCCTATCCTGATGCCACAAAACAGGGTGGAGGCTCCAAGCCAGTGGTGGTGTCCTTGGGATGGGTGAGAACAACCCAGGAAATGGGGAAATCTGGTTGCAGGAAACAACAGCTGGATTCTCGAGCTGTGGATGAGACAAGGCACTTTGCCTTGTGCTCGCCCATCAGCCGACCCTGGAAAGAGACTCTCAAGCCCCATTCCCAGCCACAGCGCAGCAGGCACCCACCCAGTCCAGCCCTTGATTCATTCCTTTACAAAAGAGAAATAAATGCTGTAGTGTGGACGTTGGTGCTGGCAGAACCAGACACTTAAGTTCAAATCCCTGCTCTGCCCATTAAGCATTTCTTTTTGGATAAAATGGGCATGGTCGTGAGGGATGTGGGTGCAAAGGGGGCCACATACTAAACCTGGCAAGCTCAGGGGAGGCCAATATGGTGGGCCTCACAAACTCAGAGACCAAAGGTAACCACATAGGATGGTCTGAACAGAAAAATTCCTAACTAAAAGTGGGTCAGGGCAGGTAGTCACGTCCTGAGCCTGTAGCTTCCTTGACAAAGGTCAGTGTTTACCTTAAGGGAGTCTGTCTATCATCTTTTTGCAGAGTAATCTTTTCTCAACCCCTCAAGGCACAACCGCCAGCACCAGAGCCACAGGCCCCAGAACCCCTCATCTTTATCTTGTTCCCCCCAAATACCATCTCTATGTGCTGTAAATGTTAACTACCCCATACCCACCAATGTAAAAGTATGTGTTTCTCTATTTTGCCTTTTTATCTGATTCTAGAGATTTCCCCCTTTGCTTTCTCCCGCCCCCTTAATCTACCACCAAGGGATTTCATATAACCCCCCTTACATCTTTTATTCTAATGTATAACATAAGCTGCAAAACTGCCATTCTCTGGAGCATTTTCTCAATCCGTTGAGAACTTGTTTCCTGGCAATTATGGTCAGTTTGTCTCAAATAAACTCATAAAAATTATCTCCAGCTTTGGACGTTTTTTTACGTTGTTAATAGGGTCAAACCAGCGAAGGTGGCCATCATAATTAACCGTCTGCACTGGGCCACTCAGGACCCGCTCCGTTGCCTCATCTCTTTCTGTGTTACTCTTACAGCTTTCTGCCCAGATGACATTGTGCTCGGGGCCGGAAATCTGGAAGGTAGTTGGGCCACCAGTGTGTGTATGCATTCAGGTAAGAGGATTAATTGGAAAAGAGAAAAGACACTTGAGGGTAATCTGGCTTGCTAGGGCACGCCCCTGGCGCGCTCTAGCCCTGGGGGGCTCAGCCCCCTTGCCTGAAGAAGCGCTAGCATAAAAGGAAGGGGTGGATGGGAGCCCGGAGTCGCGCCAGAGTTGGGGGAGGCGGAGGAAGGAGGGCTGGCCCCAGTCGGGAGGGAGGGAGAGAGGCGAGAGGAGGAGTTTTCCAGCTCAGCCCTGGCAGCCAGCTGCGCAGCCCCCTTGGCCTGGTGCGTCTCCTCCCGCCCCGGGAAGCGCGCTGCACCGTGGGGCCGAGAGGAGCGCCCGCACGCCATGGGGAGTCCCGCACTGTGGCTGGCGCTGCTGCTACCCCCCGTGCTGCTGTTGCTGCTGCGGGTCCCGCCGAGTCGAGGCTTCCCAGGTAGGGCTGTAGGCGGGACAGCTTCCCCAGCTGGGTACCGGGGACCCTCCGTTTGGACAGAGGGAGGTGCGGGGGGCGCCCTTTGTTTTCGCGGAACTCGTATTTCGCCACCCCGGGGAGGGGGGTGACGCAGAGCGGGGCTCACGTCTGGGCACTCGGAGGGGAGAGCCTGCTTTCAATTCCTCGCCAGGCGCCCTGCATCTTCGCGGGGCGGGGAGCCCTAGTACCTTTTGCGTCTGGGGTTCCAGGGGTCCAAGCTGGACCACGTCGGCGCAGGAGGCTACTCGGCGAAGTTTGGTCGCGGGCTAATTTTCTTACCACCCAAAGTTTTGCTTCTCACACGGTTGGTTGCTCAGGGCCAGGGCCCAGGGGCATGGCAGCTTGTCCTGGAAGGATCCCCTATCCCCTCCCTCTCGAGGTCCCAGACCACCCCGAGGCTGCGGGGCACGGTGGAGTGATTCTTGCGGACACTACACGCAGGGCCTCTCCCGCTTCCCCCAACCCCCCCTGCTGGGGATTCTGAGAAAGTCTGCGCCTCCGGGAGAGAGGTGCCAGCTGAGAGTGGTGACATGTGGCATGCGCTCGGTTAGCCCGAGGGAAAGAGGGCTACACACGCTGTTCTGCTTAGGAGCGGCTCTGCTGCGCTAGAGGGTGTGGCTTCTTGTTGGGGGCGTGGTCTTTAGCATCTAAGGCCGGGGTTCTCAACCTGTGGGTCGGGACCGCTTTGGGGGTCCAACGACCTTTTCACAGGGGTCGCCTAAGACCATCAGAAAAAAAAGATATTTACAGTACGATTCATAACAGTAGCAAAATTCCAGTTATAGAGTAGCAACGAAAATAATTTTATGGTTGGGGTTCACCACAACATGAGGAACTGTATTAAGGGGTTGCGGCATTAGGAAGGTTGAGAACTGCTGATTCTAAGGGGACTTTGGTGTTTATTAAGGCTCTCTTAGTGTTGGCAAAAACTTCTTTGGAGATGACCTTTAAAACGCTGCAGCTAAGTCGCTCATCGGGGAGTCATAGGTTAGCAAAGAGCTTCAGGGGAGCAGGGCAACATGAATGCGCCTCTCTCTCCCCAGAATGGAGAAGAAATCCATTAGTGCATGTTAACTTAGTGTTAATGGGAAAGTGTTTGACGTGGACTATAGGGCGTGGAAATATTTGGCTTTGCGTTCAACACCTTGGGCAGTTGAAATCTGGGATCTGAGAAACCTACTGAGTTCTGGAAGAAGGCGGGGGGAGGGGGAGTGGGGAAGTGGGGGATAGGGGGTTCCCAGATAGTGTTCTTGGGAGATGTAAGGATGGATGGCTGCTGGAAATTCTCTGCACATCCCCAGATGAATGAGTCAAACAAATGTGTAAAGCGATAAACAGGAACATTTGTGTTTTGAGCTGACTCTTGCACATTTAAACTGTTTGGTAGGAACTGATTCAGGGCAAACTGGAAAGGAGACTTTATCTACAGTGCCAGGCAAGTGGCATTCCCATGGCGTGTTAAGGGCCCCCCACTCTCTTTAGCGGAAGTCAGGTTAAAATGAACCTGGAGGGGAAGGGGAAGTTAGTATTGGACAAGGAGCCACTGTGGGAGAGAAGTTGAGAAGTTAGAGGCACCGTAGTCTGAATGGGGAGGCATCTCTGTACATCATTCCTGTACATCAACCTGGTGGAGCTGTTTTCAGCCAAGGGGGCCTCTTTTTCCATCTGACCTCCAACCCTCCCTTACCCTGCCCTCAGTTCTCCTTTCTTTCTCTCAGCTTCTACCCTTGTATAGTGTAGCTTGCTGCCCAGTGCACAGCCACCCGCAGAATCTTGGGTTTGCCAGCTTGGGCACTCACTAGTCTCCATCTTTAGGGAGCTGCCCCTGCCTGGCCTGGCTCTCCCGCCAGCCTGCAAGCTGCCCCCAACTGGAGGCCACTGCCTTCCTCCTTGCTACCCTTCTTCATTCCTAACCTGCCATCTGTATCTGCTCTGACCACAAATGAGCAGACAGAAGCTGATTGGAGCGGCTTTCAAAGCACTCCTCTTGAGCCCTCTCTTGGCAGGTCTCATTGGGGTCTCTCAGGAAATGTGCCCTGCAGGGGCTATTGAATTCAAAGGTGGGCTTTCACTCCAAGCCAGACGTTTTGGAAGGCTGGGGACGGGAGACGCTTAAGGCCAGTGGGTCCTGAGAAAAATGTCAGCTGAGTCACCCTAAGTGCTGGGTGACAGATTTTATTTTATTTTTTAGTTGCAGGTGGGCATAGCCCACCATGCAAACCGGCAGCCTTGTTAGGAGCACGTGCTCTCACCAACTGAGCCATCCTGCCACCTGTTGGCAGCTCAGCGGCAGCTCAACTCGGGGGGGGGGGCGGTGCAGGGTCACTGGCCCATGTGGGAATCGAACCGGCGGCCCTGTTGCTCAGAGCTCGCGCTCCTGGGCAGGCTCTTAACCACCTGAGCCACTCGGCGGGCCTGGGAGACAGATTTTAAAGCTCATTTCAGAGGCACCCTCTTAGCAACTGGAAATGATGTATCTAGTAAGAGAGACGGTAAGAAGAGCCAGGAACCTCTGAAAGAGGTAGATGGGGATCTAGGGTCCCATTAGCCCCCTGGTTATAGAACTGATAAACAGCAAATCTGTTAGAGAGTAAATCCTTCCTATTCCCACTTCTAGAATGTTTTTGGAGTTATTCCATCTTTGAACTTGATGCAGCTCTTCTGGCCCTCTGACTTATTTTTTGCAGCATAGCAAAGACGGTGTCTGAAAAGCCCCACATGAAATGTGTAGGAAGTTCACAGCCAAGTTGTCTGCATTTGATTGTGTTTGTATGCCTATAAGGGGTAGGGGTTTGGATTCTGTTCTCAGATGAATTCTTTTATTTATGTATTTTATTTATTTATATATATTTTTTATTGTGAAATAAACATATTTTTAAAATTAGTTTCAGCTGTACATCAGATGAACTCTTGTAACCTTATTTACATCTTAGATTATAGAGGGTCCCTGTACCTTTTTCTATAAGCAAGGCTGAAGATGGAGAATGAGTGCTGTGGCCACTAAGAAAGGCTCTATGAACCTTACACCTGGAGAAAACTTCATTCAAGGAGTGTGATTTGGCCAGTCAGGAAAGCTAAGTGAAGTCTCTTGAAAGCCAAGCCCGACCACATCAGCCAAAGCAAAACAGTCTTCTGAAATGCCACATTTGCAGATAAGTATTAGGAGCTGAACACCTGGCTCAGGATATACAATTAAAGTCTCAGCCTAGGCTAGAAATTTCCATTTGAATTTAAAACATGTAATCAGTTGACAAAATTACTCTGCATTAAAAAGGAGAATCCTGGGAGAGCAGGACATTTTCATCTGGCATTTTCTTCACTGATAACACTTTCAGTATAATATATTGATTGGTGTTGCTGCTTCTCATTTCAAAGACTTCTGAGATCTGTGAGACACCAGAAACCATTGTTAAAGCTCCCGTCCTCAAACCTTCCCACCTCATCAGTCCTCACACCACAATTGAAATACAGCCCCTCTATTTTCGATTATTACTATAACATTCACAGCTTGTAGTCTCTGTCATTCTAACTCATTCTGCTTTCTTTGGCCAGATACTGGTCTTTTATTATTTTTATTATTATTATTACTATTATTATTATTATTTAAATTATTTTAAGCTGAGCCATCCTGCCACTTGTTGGCAGTTCAGCGGCTGCTCAGCTCGGGCTGGGAATCGAAACGCTGTTTATCAAGAGCTCAAACTCTTGAGCGGGATCTTAACCAACTGAGCCACTTGGCCGGCCCAGGTAGTGGTCTTTTAAATACAACTTTACTTTAGCACCATTTTTATCGCTTTACTCTCCTACTCAAAGATGTAGAGCAGCAGCTCCTTGTCCTCTCTAATGTTAACTAGAAAGTTCTTAGCTGTTTTCAGGGGACTAGACAATTGGCTTCCAGCCTAATTTTCTAGTCCTTCTTTCCTAGTTTCCTAAATTCTGGCCAAAAATAGATTACCTGTTTTTACAGAGCTTGAGTGACATGTTTCTCTCTTCTTGAGGATTACTGCTTCCTGCACCTGGACTGCTTCTCCCCCAGCCACCAGTCTGCCCCAATTTTGCCCATCATCCAGCGACACCCCCACTTTGATGAACTTTGACTATATCCCTTGAATGGGAAGCTTGTGCCTTTCTTTTTTTTATTTAATTTTATTTTTTTTAGCTGAGCCATCCTGCCACCTGTTGGCAGCTCAGCGGCAGCTCAGCTCAGGCTGGACTCGAACCGCTGTTGCTCAGAGCTCAAACCTTTGAGCGAGCTCTTAACCAACTGAGCCACTCGGCCGGCCCGCTTGTGCCTTTCTTTAAGCACTATGTCTCCTATCTCTTGTGGTATTTATGTTACATGCCATGCATTGCAAAAATGTATGCACTCCTCTATACAGGCAGACCTCAGATATATTGCGGGTTTGGTTCCAGACCACTGTAATAAAGTGAGGAACACAATCAAGTGAATCATAATCTTTTTGCTCGTGGAGGGTCTTGCCTTCAATTCGTGAAACATACAACATCTGTGAAGTATAATAAAGTGAATCGCAATA